CCTCGCCCTCCCTGGGTGCGTTCCTCTTCTAATTTGATTTCTACCCGTCAGGAAAGATGGGTGCAAACGGGTTTTGCCGATATCTTAAGGCAAGACCTCCCCTCCCTGCCAGCACTCCCTCTGGTGTGCACGATTAAAAGGAAAGCTAGGTTTTTGTGGGGGAAGAGATTCAAAGGAGTCGTGAGTGATGCCCAAAGTTATGCTGAGGTCAGGACCTTGCTTATTGATTTTCTAACGCAGCAGAGCCATGTACAAAAGGAAGAGACCTCCTCGCCTCCCCCTGATCCAAGATACTCCTTGAGCTTGTGGAAAGAAAAAGAAATCTGGCTGCAAGCAGTCAGGCTTCAACCAGGCTGTCAGACTGTTCTCTGCAGGAACACAATCCATGTTGATTTTACAGAGAAGGTTGTTATCCACATTTCACCACTGATTTATTGTTTTTTAACCAGCTCCTTATGCTAGACTTTTCTTTTTCTATTAAAAAAAGAAAGGGTCCTTTTGCACTTTGCTTGCTGAGAGACTCACTGATGGTGGGATGGTGGCAGAGGTGCCCTGCTCCTGCTGGGCTAGGGAGGAGCAGGGCCAAGCACTACCATCCTCCAGCTCCTGCCACCAGCCACCTGCGATGCTTTTCTTAATGCTTGTCAGGGTTTATGAAGGCCATGGCTAAAGCCCGATAACGCACTCATGCGTTCACTTTGCCCATGGGCCGCAGTGGGGCAACCCAGCTTTGAGAGCACCGAAACCTCTTCAGTCACTTCAAGAGTAAGATGGGTATGTTGGAGACAGGTCTGATGAAGCCCTGCAGAATTAAAACAGCCATACGTGTCCCCTCTCTTCCAGCTGCAGAATTCATTAGGCGAGCTTGATTGGCCTTTGTTAAACAAAGATGGGATAAGGTTTCATACTTTTTCTGTGGGAGTCGAGCTAAAGTTTCAGGCTGATGATTTAGTCAGGTGTAAGCATGAAGTTTCCAATTTAGAGAAATAAATCTAAAGTGATTTTATTATCCTCTGTTTTACCCTGACACCCTGCTTCACCCCGACTCCCTGTCAGAGCACGCATGATGTGTTTATACAGGCTGCACCGTAATCGACTGGCAGGCAGTATAACATGAGACACAAAATGCATCTTCCACCTAACACTGCCTTTGGTATCTTCTATATTTCATCATCTTCCAGTTTCTTTGCTGGCAACTCTTCCTTTCTCAGAATCCCTCATATTCTGCCTGGTGGGAATGTGTATCCTGGCCCTGTAGAAACTGCTATTGGTGTGCTGAGACACTGATTTTCAGCTCCTGTTGTGCACTGCAGCTCTGTTTTACTTCATTCCATGCATCTTCCAGGGAGATCCTTGGATCAGACTAGGCATCCTTTGGCTGGAGTCATTTTAACAATTGTGTGTGCCTAAAACACCTACAAAACTTTATTTTGTGGGAATTGGCAAAATTTTAAATGCTTTAAATAGAAAAAAATCTTTATTTCATAGTTTCTGCTTCAGGAATTAATATACAAAAACTGTATGTTAAGATTTTGACAATAGACTCATAAAATTATTATGTGATAAAATTGGCTGAAAATACCTGTTTTTCTAAACTTAAAGAGAAAACAATATGAAAGTACAGATAACAACACTGGGGGGAAGGAAGCGAGCTGCTTTGGCCAGGTTTTCAGATTCCATTGACTAGAAGTCTGCGCAATTTAGTTATTAGTTAGAACATAAGGACACAAAACGCAATAGGTCAAATTCATTTCTTCATCTCGGATATATCCCTGTTGACTTCAGCGAAGTTTCTTTAATGATGAATTTGTCCCACTGGCTCAAAGATAAAAAGAGAAGTTATTTTTGTTTAATATTTCAACAAGGGGAAGAGGTTAGTGAGGGAATTTGGTTTGCAGAAGTTGTGTTTTTCCATGAAGTTTAACAAGGGCAGCCACCATCTAGCCAGCCCTCTTGTATATTTGTCTTCTTGAGGGCTGAATGTTTTCTCTATAGACTGTCCCAAACCCTTTTTTGCCAGATGCAACCTCCAAAGGACGCTCACAGCCATGGTTGGTTTGTGTTCCTGCAAGCAGTGATGGGAGCTGCCCTCATTCAGGTGCCTGCTGATTTGGTTTCACTTGAGGGTAGGCTTTTGGAGGCAGAGCTCTGTGCACTGTGTCTCTGCTGTCCCTGAGTGCCACCTGGTGCTCTCAGTAGCATGCCTACCCCTGCTCACATCTTTGTTATGCTTTTCTTCGGTGAGCCTCTTGCTGTTGCCCTCGTGTTTGCCTTGGTGTGCAGTTTTGCCCAATGTGGTATCCCTTGCTTTCCCAGGCTTTCTTCCACTTCCATTAGGCCCTTCTGGCTGATGGCAGAACAATGAGAGGTCAGGATCCCACAAAACCTGGAGAAGCTTTCTGAGACCTTGTGAGGCAAAAGTCACCTCCATCTGCACTGTTTCCTCTTATATCTAGACTATGTGGAAGAGTGGGATTCAGCATTCCCAGTGTAAGCCATACCAGGGGTCAGAATGTGTGATGTGCAGCTGGCTGGGGAGGCTTAGTTTTCTTGTGGAATCAAACTCTGGGTGAACTTGGTGTTGTGGGAATCCTCCATATGTGTTCCCTGGCATGGATAACCTGTGCTGTTTGGTTGTTCAGTTGTTGTCGTATGTCTGCACAGATGTTCTGCATGGCCTGGTTTTATGGGTGTTGTGCAGGTATGCATGGAGGGTTGTTTCACCATCTTATTCTTGCTTCAGAGCAAATGGCCTCTTGCCCAGGTAAGAAGCTGAAAGCTTCACTGGTTGCTTTCCATCCTGGAGTTCAAGGCATCTGGCAGGTTTCTGTAAGCCTTGGCTAAAAGCAGCCTTTCTGCTACGGGGAGTATTGCTTTTAAACCCAGGAGAAAGAAGTTTTGATGAAAGAAGAGGAAACCTTTCCCGTGCTCTTCTCATCCTTGTATTCCTGGGTGCTTTCCAGAGTAATTCAAAACTATTGCAACTGGACAAACGGAGGCACCAAGCAGTTCAGTGTGTGGTTTGGCAAACTCCTCTTTATCTAGGGTAGCTTTTAGGGAGATTCCAGCTTTCTCAGAGGAAGAAGAGCCTTAAAATAGCTTTTTTTTTTCTTTTTCCTGGAAAAGAACTGCCATGTTTTGAGATGCTAAACTGACTGCGGTTAGTGATACAGAGGTGTGCCTTTATACCCCTGTTGGCCTGATGTCCCCAGTGATGGGTATCATGATGTACTGTCTATGGCTACCTGCAAGAAGGCCCTCAGTGGTAAGGGAACTGGGAGAAACTGGAAGAAAGTGTTAATCAGCCTAATAGGAGAACAGCCCTTGGTCTTGGCTGCCTTTTCCCATACCACGTGGAAATCTGGAGCTAGGATGAGGGTCCCCATACATAGGGCTGGGATGTGCACAGGCACTGATCCTGAGTGTGAGGTTTGGGAACCGTTCCTGGACGCTCTATTTGTAGGGACCCAGTCACTGTCTCTGCCCAAGTCATAAGTCTTCTGGGACAGAGACAGTAAGAAAGACTAGACAAAATTAATGTGGGGGATTGAATGAAAAGTTAGTCTAAAAACTTGACATAGCCACACAGCTGTGAGGAGCAGGGCCGAGGCAGGAGTTGGCAGCATCTCCCTTGCATTAATCCAGTGCCATTGCCCTTAGCATCTCCTGGTATCCCACTTCCTCCTGGTTTACCCAGTAGCCCGTGTGCCAGCATGTCCCTGCTGCCACTCAAGTGGACAAGCATCGGCCTCGGAGATCACATGTGAACTTCTTGTGAGGTACAGATGTTGCAGAGTCAAAGCTTGGCCACCCTTGGTCTAGGAGGGACTTGGGTTTCCAGTGCCCTGGAGAAGCAGGAAGTGCAGGAGACATGGATATCATGAGAAAAGAATCAATAGTCCCTCCTTGGCCTGACCAAATATTGATTTTGCTGTTCGGTTCGTATCATTTTTCACCGCCTTGCTGGCCCTCGGGGTGGGAGCTCCCTCTTGTAGACCCCTAAGGGGTGCTTTGGAGAGGGAGGGAGGCAGAGAGACTGGACCTTTCATTGGGCAGGGTGAGGACAAGGATCAGTCACTTGCTAACCTGACCCTGGCCAAGGGGGATGGCAGTGGTAGGGTGGGGTGGGGGGGTCTTGGCTATCCAGTCCTCCCCAAAGCCGTCCTGTTAGCTAATACTGTTGAGAGCTTGTATTGGACAAGGTTTGCTGTCTTGTGTTCCCTGTCAGTGCCCCCACCGTGCTGTGATTCTACTTTAAGATTTGATATAAAATCCAGGGAATGCAAAAGATCTTCCTGGCTTTTGTCGGTTTTGGAGTGCACACTTAATTTTTGGATCCAATCGTTAATAATTGCAGCGATCGGCAACCACAGTTCAGCCTTCCCCAGCAATTCCTGCTACCACAGCTTTGCAGGAGCGCTGCCATCCAAACATTCACAAATTTATGATTTTCGACTCAAAATTGTATCTGCTGCTGCTGGAGGTAAAAGTATTAATATATAAATAAAGGCTAATTCTGTCCTGGTTGTTTTTCTTCATGAGGTCACCAGTCCCTGAGGAATGATAAGCAAAACAGCAGAGTGCCTCACAAGAAATAGGAAAAAAATCATCTCTCATGGCATGAAAAAGAAAGATGTTTGGAATGTTTTTAAAGGATGTTCTCTAGCTTTCTTTGGTTGTAGTTTCTACCACATATACCATGTTTTTACTGGGATTGAAAAAGATGGTGCTTTCTACACGACACTGTAGCTAGAAGCTAGACTTGCTGGGAATTACGTGGCCAGTTCATTTTTACTTTGTGTAGCTGATTTATATATTGATATAGTGATGCAAAACCACTTTGAATCCCCATTAAACAATAATTTTCAGCAATTCTGTGGTCTCAAGGCAATACTGACATGCTGTCTTCACAAATCTTTGGCTTAATTATAAGTTATGCTACCTGATGGGAAAATACTCTTTAAAACAGGAAGAAATAGTGTATGGGGTTTTTCTTCCAGGCAATTTTGGGCAGTGTTTCTCAGCCTATGTAAACCAAAGGGCTAACCAGCCTTATAAAAACCCCAACAAACCACAACACCAGTAAGTATCAAAGAATTGCATGTTTGTGTGACATGACCCACCTACTGCAATGAAAAATCGGGTTAATCTTTAAATGCCTACTTGTACTTTGCACATCTGGATGTATCAGTCTTTTCTTACCAACGTTGCAAGTTAAGACAAAATGATTTGCTTGGAATGGTGTGGTGCTGGAACAGATAACCAGGAAAGATGCTAGGATCACCACAGCTAGGGGCTTGCAAGACTCAGCTAGTGGCTGACCTGCTCCGATGTTTGCAATAACCTTGCTGCAAGGGGGAGCTTGAGTTAGGCAATCTCCAAGCGCCTTGCTTCTATGGTTCTTTTGCATCTTTGCAAGTGAGGCATCTTCTGGTGCCTTGCGGGCTACAGGAATGGCTGCATTGACCTGAAGCAGGTGCGGTCTGACATGCCAGTTCAGGGACACTGGAGCTTCCCATGCAGAAGACTGGAAGTCATGAGCTTGCAGGCAAAGGTGTTTTTCTGTCTCATCCTGTGATTCAGGGCTAAAAGCCTGAATTTTCCCAATGTAGGTGTTTAAAGGTGGCATCTTGGTTGGAATAGCTTGGGTTTCTTTTCTAGAGAGTAAAGAAAAAGCCCTCCAGAAAGCAGCTCAATCCTCCCAAATTAGCTTCACCTAGACAATGGTAATCTTGAGCTGTTCTTGGGCACTGTCTCTCTGGCCATAGCTTAGAAAGCATCTACAATGGTTGTCACTGTATTTCATGGGAAATTGGAGTTTGAGTCCTGGCCCTGGATTGATTTTGTCATTCCTGTTTTGCTTGTAGACAGGCAGAGTAAGCAATGAAGTCCTAACCTACACTGCCTTTGGTGGCATGATGCTCATGACCAGGCATGGGGACAGCAGAACTGCCCCAAATCCTATGATATGACTGTATTTACCTGCCTGGGCTTTTAACCCAGTGCAGATAGAACCCATATTTCAGGATAATCCTCAACATCATAAATTTACCTGTGCAGATGGGACCCAAAGGGAATATTAGAACAATGAAGGGAAAAAAACAAGAAAGAAAAATGTACCTATTAGGCAATCTGAACCTTTGTGCAGCCTTCATTAGTACCAGCAGGGTTATAGTTACTTTTAATCATTCAGCTAACTGTACTAGCAAAAACTTTCAACTGTCAGCCATTTAAATTGGAAAGGTCTTTAAAACATTTATTATTACTGTAAATCACTCCATTTAAGGTCAAAGCAGAAGCATTTGTTGGATTCGAGCAAGATCCCAAGTTGTTTTCTTACCTGGAGGTTGAGTCCTGGTGGAAAGGTCTGTGTTTCTAATTTTGCTGTGCTATTTTGTTACTATGAGATGATGGGAACACCATTATGCTGAGCTATTTTCTATTTTTTAATTGGTCGCTCATACACAGGTCTGGCTGGAGTTGAAAATCTCAGGGAAAAAGCCATTAACACCTGCATGTTTGACCTGCAGTTTATAAATCAGAACATATGTTTTCATATTTCTAACCCCTCAAAAACAGAAAAACGTGTTAGTGGATATTTGCAGCAAACTCAGATGTACATTGTCTTTCCAGTGTCAGCAGACCAGAGTGTCAAAAGGTATAAATCATTGCAATTACACAGATTTTTGCCTGAGGTCTGGCCTTGATGAATGTCTCTCCTAAACAAGATATTATGGGGGATGTGGAACATGCACATTACTTAACCTGCTGTATTGAGGTTGCAAAGTGCCACTCTTGCTCTCTTTGTGTAGGGCATCTAATAGTCTTGGTGGATTTCTTCATGTTGTTTGTGTGATGACCATCATCTTAGATGGTTTATTTAGCTTCCTATTGTGGAAAACACTTAAGCACATACTTGCAGCCTGTTGCAATCACTGTTGAAACCAGCAAGACTGACTGTTGCACTTGCGGTTCATCCCAGTTTAGCTGAATACGATCATTAACAAAGTCTGTGGGGAGTGGCTTATGCCGATGAAACAGTGCAAGTGTGGTGGTAAGAATGCTCTCTTCTCTTTCAATCCCAAAGCAGACCTATCTAAGCATTGCTTTGAGCTGCCTAATTCATCCTGTCTTTCCCACTTTGATGAGCACACCTTCAGCAAATACAGTATCTGCACTACTTTTATACTCTATCAGCGTTATCCTGTTGCTCACCTGGCATGGTAGGAAACCCAAACCTCCCTACAGGTTTTTGGTCTTAAAATTTGTGTTTTGCTTTGCGATGACACAAGGAAAATGTAGTTGGAAGGCTGGCTGGATTCGAAAAACCATGGCAGCTACTGCTGCAATCTGGATCGGAGCTTGTGAATTGAGCTGAGTGTTTGAATGCGGTATCTTGAGATCTCACTGACTTCCACAGAAGAAAGATCAGGGCTAGTTACATCCCTGAGCTGAAAACTTTCATCTGCAAGGCAATATAAATTTGTTCTATATCACAATTTTGGTTGTGTATTTAGGCTGTACGTTAAAACCAAACCAAACAAAAAAACCCAACCCAAAATAAACACAAAACCACAAAAAAAAAAAGAAACCCCCAAACAATCAAAAAAAACCCAAACCAACACAAAACCCAAACCCAAAAGAGGGATCAGTGGGCTGTCATTAAAAAATGCATATGAAAGAAATTAATGAATCTCTGTGGGTATATTCCATCTTTAAAATCTCTTACTCTTCCTGCCCTGTCATTTTAGGTAACAAAGATGTAACCATTTTCTGAGGGTAATGATTTAAGTAGAAGAAAGAAGGAGAAACTTTGGGTAGTTTTTGTTTTTCTTTTTTCTAGAGTAATGGCACTTATTTGGAAATCATTTTAAAGGTTACCATACCCTTTAAGACCAAAAGTTCTAACTTGAGTCAATGTACTTAGCTAAAAATCCCTGTAGAGATTCAAGTTTCTTGCTCGAGCTGCCTGGAGTGGCGAGTTCAGGTCTTTGCAGTGATTGTCAGCTAGGAGAACATTAATGGAGTATTAGAAAAATGAAGTCCCCGACCCCTCCTCCCTTCTGGCTGGTTGTTTCTACATGGTGGGAAGGAAAACATTTTCCCCGTCAGCCATTTACTGTGCAACAGGGGGAAACTGTCAGTTTGCTATGAGCAAACCCCTGCAAGATAAGTCAAAATGATTTACCCTGTAAATAAAGTGGGCTGTTTTCTTTACTTGGAAGAATTGCCCATGTGGCGAGACTTCCTATGGGAGGGGATGTGGTTGGCCCTTCACATTTATCCACTGTGTTTGTCTTTTTTGAAAAAGAAACATTGGAAAGATTAACAAGTCTGTCACAGGAGGAACTGATATATCAAAGCTGCGGAGACAAAGCAGACCATTCATTCCTTACGTCTCTGAAATCTCACTTCCAGTGCAAACCAGGTCTTCCCATTTAGGTCTAGATGAAAGGAGGGATTTCCCTCTTCCTCCTTCCCACCAGAGTACTGGGGACTTTTATATGTATGTGTGTACATATACATAAAAAAGTGCGTCCATATACTCACTCTATACGTTGCAATTGGAGCCCTCCTAAACTGGTGAGTTATTTGCCACTGGGGAGAGGCCATGGGGGTGCAAGAAGATGGGAGCGATCTGAGCATAGTACTAGACACAAGGAATGACGCTCCCATGGACACCCCCGGAGATTTAGGATGAGTCTCTCTGCATTTGAATTTTATCTCCTCATTGTAAAGCTGGAGGAAGCTTTGGTGTGGTGTTTTTGGTGGGTGTGGGTTTTTGTTTCTTTGTTGTGGTGTGTTTTGGGTATTTTTTTAATCTAATCATGAGAGGGCTTGGGGTAAAGAAGAGAGAAGATAGACTGCTGTAGGGGGGACTGGATGCCTTGAGATCCCTTCCAGCTGTGTGGCTGTGACTTAGTGATTGCTAAGGCTTCCTTTCATGCAGAAAATCCTGTAGAGAAGTATGCATATGCATAGTATGTCTGGCAGGTACTGGCTCTACAGGATTTATGGTGTACAAAACGTGTGCACATAGATCATATTGATGAGCACATATGCACTGGAGAAGAAATAAATCTTATCTCCTCAGGCTGAAGGATATTCTGAAATTTCTAATGTGGTATTTGGTCTGAGCTGCCATTTCTAGAGACAGCCCAGAGATGCAGCAGTCCCAGCTTGCAGTCATTGCTTGGTAGACAGCAATGATTTCTAGTCACATGTTTCACTTAGGTCTTTTAATTTGTCTGCTTTAGCTGGTCATCTATGTGTAGAACTGTAGAATCATAGAATGGTTTGGGTTGCAAAGGATCTTAGGATCATCTAATTCCAACCCCCTTGCCATGAGCAGGGACACCTCACACTAGACCAAGGTCCACCCAAACTGGTCTTGAACACTGCCAGGTATGGAACGTGCACCACTTCTTTGGGCAACCCACTCCAGTGCCTCACCACCCTCACAGTAAAGAACTTCTTCTTTATAGAATCATAGAATAGTTAGGGTTGGAAAGAACCTTAAGATCATCAAGTTCCAACCCCCCTGCCATGGGCAGGGACACCTCACACTAAACCATATCACCCAAGTCCTTGTCCAGCCTGGGCTTGAACACCACTGGGGATGGAGTGTTCACAACCTCCCTGGGCAACCCATTCCAGTGCCTCACCACCCTAACAGGAAAGAATTTCCTTCTTATATCCAATCTAAACTTCCCCTGTTTAAGTTTGAACCCGTTACCCCTTGTCCTATCACTGCAGTCTCTAATGAAGAGTCCCTCCCCAACATCCCTATAGGCCCCCTTCAGATACTGGCAGGCTGCTATGAGGTCTCCACGCAGCCTTCTCTTCTCCAGGCTGAACATCCCCAACTTTCTCAGCCTGTCTTCATACGGGAGGTGCTCCAGTCTCCTGATCATCCTCGTGGCCCTTCCATGTCCTTTTTATGTTGAGGACACCAGAACTGCACACAATACTCCAGGTGAGGTCTCACAAGAGCAGAGCAGATGGGCAGGATCACCTCCTTCGACCTGCTGGTCACGCTCCTTTTAATGCAGCCCAGGACACGGTTGGCTTTCTGGCCTGCA